CAGACACACAGACACACACACACAGACACACAGACATACACACACAGAGACACACACAGACACATACATACATACATACATACAGACAGACAGACACACACACACACTACACACACACAGACACAGACACAGACACAGACACAGACACAGACACACACAGAGACACACAGACACACACACACTACACACATGCCTCATTTCTTTCAAAAAATCATCCAAGGCTGAGAGCTTCTGGGGAGCAAACTTCAGAGTGGGTTCCCAGGGGGCAATCATCGGGAGGATAGGCGTCACACCGTAGGGAAAGTTCATGACATTGACTGCCTACGATGGGACGGGGGTCTCCTGTCATTTTTACCTGCAAGGTATCTGCCCCCCTCAACAACAAGGAAGTGGGCAATGTGATGCCCCAGGTTGCTGTCAGCAGCAGAGGCTCCAGATTCATGCCCAAGGCCCTACGTCCAAAGTGGGAAGACAGACTCACCCCGAGTCTCCTCCGGTTCATCATCCCTTAAGCCCTCTGACCTTCAGATGGGTGGTTCATGGAGTCACTCACACTCTGCCTTAGAAGCTCAGGGAATCAATCACTTGGGAAGCCAGTGATGTAGATCCTGTCCCTGGATCTCCATCATGCCCCAAGACACTCTATTTCAAACCAGAAGAGTGAGCCCTGCCACCCAGCATAGAAGGTGTGGTCATTTTCTCTCAGGCTTTCTGGAGCTCGGGGAAACATCTCCACAGGATGTAAACCTATCTGTCATGATCATTCTCGTCCTTTCGTTGTGGAAGGCACAATTCACCCCTCTCCTGGGATTCACAGAGCCTGAACTCTGCTGATTCTGCTTCATGACAGTGGAGCTGCACAGCTGTCCACGCAGTTATAGAAAACACAATTAGCCAACTACTCAACTTATTTAAAATGGATTGAAGCTGAGCTCCGATGAAGCTAGATCCTAGTGGGTTAACACGAGTGGGGACTCTGAACATGTGACATTTGTCTAGGGTTTCTCACATCTGCCCCTGACACTTGCGACTGAGCTTTTGTGCAAAGTTCCATTCCTCCCCCTGTTCTCGAGTGTCTGGGCAGCTACCTGAATTTGTTAGTGGCGCCCCCTGGTGTCCAACAATTGAAATTCTCACAGCTACTGTGATGAATGGAATTGGCGATTTTGGTCTGGCTTTTGAGATTTTTACATATGTGAGTTTCAAGTTTCATGTCAAGGCTTGAAAACTTTTAGTACAGATAATTCAGGCAAAGAATTTCAATGCTGTTTTATTTTTAACTTTGAACTTTTTTTTTTTTTTTTTAGGATAAGTATCTGCTTAATTTTCCTCTAAGGAAACATGAAAAGGGTAAGTTTTTCCTTTCTTTTTGGGATGACTTCCTTCCGTCCATGGTTTGGGAAACTATTCAGGGTGATGGTGTGTGAGAAGATATTGAACCCTAATTTTGGGGTTTGGAATGAAGTGGGGCTTGCTAGACAAGCAGGTCTTTCTTTGGGGTTCTTCTTCCTGACAGGATTCTCTCTCTACAGGCCCAGGCAGGAAGGCCGAGGCTGCAGGCTGACTGTGGCTGCTCACACGGTGTGACACTGAGTCTTTTCTAGTCCACTGAATGTTCAGGTGACCTCGTTATCTGCATAGGTAGTGTAACATTTGCTCAACATTACGGCAGGACTCTCCCTGAGAGTGATTTTCTTTTAGCTTTCAAAAAGTCACAACCAAACAAAAAGTCTAAAATGATGTCCATGTTCTTACAAGGGACAGAAACTGTCCCAGTAGGAACAGTAACCTTGGGACAGTTTTCTCAGCTGGCAGCAGTTTTGCCTACAAGGGACCTGCTGGCAATGTCTGGAAACATTTTTGTTTATCCCGGGAGAGCACACTGTAATGCTGTGAAATGCAGTATCAGTGGTTCTGATGTGGTAAAACACTTTTCTTAGGATATCTTCAGAAGAGGTCAACTCAGACTACTTCTCTAACTCTGTGAGGTCCCCCTCTGAGTGGGCTGGAGCCAGTAGATTCTCCCAATCAGTAGAGAGACCAAGAAGGCAAAGGTGGTGGGGAGGCAAGTGGAGGCAAGAGGGAGAACCAAGGGGCTAGTTGAAACAGTGGACACACACAGAAGCTGAGGGAAGTACGTACACAGACTCCAAGGTGTCCCATTCATCCCCTGGCATTCTGTAAATACAAGTGGGATGAGGTGCTAGGCTGCTAGCTCAGCTAGCACCTGAGGGGGAGGCTGGCTGGAGATGTGGGGGATCAGGCCTACAGCCATTTGCTGCTGGCTGTCCAAGACCCCATCCTATAGCCATGAGTCTAGGGCAGTAATGGTCCGTTGACACTAGTCCTCATTTTTTGTGATATTTCTTTTATGTGTCAAGTGGGCTGGGCCATGGCATTTTGGATGAGATTAATTTTTTTTTTAGTGGCAGAGTTTAAGTAAAGCAGGTAGCTAATGTGGTAGGCCTTATCCTATCAGATGAAGGCATGTATAGGATAGCAGGGAGAGTTCTGCAGTAGATAGCCTCTTGCGTGAATCTCCAGCTGGGCAGCTCCACACAGAACATTAGAACTTGCTAGTCTCCACAGTCGTGTGAGTTAAGAGCTTAAAACAAATCTCTTCCTATGTACAGTTCTTGGATCATCTGGAGAACCCTGACGAATACAGCCACCTCAAGACCTCAGTCAACATCCCTGGTTAGTACGGCCTCTGTCATTGAGTTCCCAGTGCTGTGATAAAATCCCATGAGCAAAAGCAACTTGGGGAAGAAAGGGTTTATTTTGCTTAAGATTCCATATCACTATTCATCACTGAAGGAAGACAGAGCTGGATCTCAAAGGGCAGTAATCTGGAGGCAGGTGCTGATGCAGAGGCCATGGAGGGGTGCTGCTTACTGGCTTGCTCTTCATAGCTGGTCAGCCTGCTTTCTTATTGAACCCAGGACCACCAGCCCAGAGGTGGCCCCACCCACAACTGGCTGGGCCCTCCCCCACAATTGATCACAATTAAGACATGCCTTAAAGGCTTGCCTACAGCCCCATCTTACAGAGGCATTTTTTTTTCAACTGAGGCTTTCTCCTCTTAGACAATTTTAGCCTGTGTCGAGTTGGCATAGAATTAGCTAGCACAATCTCTTTATTAAACACACCCCCCTTGGATTCTGAAACATGAGCATAGCAGTTTCCTGCCTCCTGGCAAGTCCCGGTCTGGCTCTTTGGAGGCTGCATGAATGACTGTTGGGTGACCCTGCCTTAGTGGAGGCCCCAGGCTGTTGGGTTTTACAGAGTCAGAACTGTTTGATTATGTAAACTCGAGCAAAACATTCCTGTCCTTCAAAGGCAGAAGGTCTGAACCTCCGCATGGCTGAGGCATTTCTGCTCCATTTGTGGCCAAGTCAGAGCCATTTCCTGGCCAAGGGAGGTTAAGTGGGAGGTCATCCCACACTCTCATTTTACAGGGAAGGATACTGAAGTCCACGGTTAACTTAGCCAGAGTCCGTGGCAAGCTACTGGCCAGGAAGTCAGGCTCCTCTGGCTGTGGTTGGCATTCATGGTAGGTCCATTTCCAGAGGAAACAAGGCAAGAGACTTCATAGCTGTCACTAGTCCTGCTCTATGACTGTACTGTTAGAGGAGTCTCAGGCGAGCTTTGTTAGTATGGTGGTGTGATGTGATCCTGAGACCTTCTGCATCGAAGGAGGAGGTGGAGGAGGAGGAGGAGGAGGAGGAGGAGAAGGAGGAGGAGAAGGAGCTTAAGGACCAGTCAGCATGGGAGGAGCATTGTGGCACTCCAAGTGAGCCTCAGAAAGACTTGGTCAGCAAAGGCAGAGGAGACAGACCTCAGAGCCATGGCATAGGGAGGTTTCACAGGTGATAGGTGAAGGAAGTTCCTCAGGCATAGGGGCTACCTGACAGCAATTGCAACTCCTAAGGGGATGTTAGCCCCAGGCTAAACTGTAAAGATGGACCAAGAGTGCTTGTAGGGACCCCAG